ATCCCGAGTACCAGAACCGAGTTGAGATTCTCCAGGATTTCGAATTCGAAGAGGCCAGCAATTGTATCCGTGTCAGCGACGATGGTGACTGGGTCATGAGTACCGGCACTTACAAGCCCCAAATCCACGTCCACAATCTCTCTGAACTGTCACTCTCCTTCGCTCGCCATACAAATTCTCTCAACCACAGCTTCGTTCTCCTCTCCCCCGACTACACCAAATCCCTCCATCTCCAGATTGACCGAAAGCTCGAGTTCCACACACCCATGGGCTGCCACTATGAAGCCCGTCTCCCCCGATACGGTCGAGATCTGAAATATGATCGGCAATCAACAGAAGCCCTCATTCCGGCGGTCGGACTCGATGCAGATGGGAAGGGCGAGGTCTTCAGAATGAATCTGGAGCTTGGGCGGTTCATGCGATCGTATCAAGTTGATGTCGGCGGTGATGATGAGACGACGGGGGGTGGCCTTCAAGGTGGAATTGGAGTCGGCAGCGTCAACACTGCCGCCATTGCAGAAGAGACACACAATCTCCTGGCTTTCGGTACTTCGATCGGAACCGTCGAATTCTGGGATCCGCGCTCCAAGGCCCGGGTTGCCCTCCTTACTGGTCACGAGGGTGAGGTCACTGCGCTGGATTTCAGTTCAACTGGTTTGTCCATTGCAACGGGATCCTCAACTGGAATGATGCAATTGTTTGATCTCCGTAGACCAACGCCGCTCCTAAAGAAGGACCATGGATACGGCTTCCCCGTCAAGAAGCTCATTCACATGACCACCTCCTCCCAGGAGAAGAAGGTTTTGTCAGCCGATAAACGAATAATCAAGATCTGGGATGAGGCAGACGGTACTCCTTGGACGTCTGTTGAGCCGGTGGTGGATATCAACGATGTTGCATGGTGCAAGAATTCGGGCATGCTCCTCACAGCCAATGAAGGCAAGCAACAGCATGCTTTCTTCATTCCTCAGCTCGGTGCAGCACCGAAATGGTGTACATTCCTCGACAACATGGTGGAAGAAATGGCCGAGGAAGTTCGAACCGAAACCTACGATAACTACAAGTTCCTCACGCTCCCAGAACTCAAGCAACTCAGCTTGGCCCATCTGGTCGGCAAGACAAATCTTCTCCGGCCTTATATGCATGGTTACTTTGTGGCCTCAAAGCTTTACGAACAGGCAAGATTAATCGTGAACCCATACGTCTGGGAAGAAGAAAGGATGAAGCGAGTGAAGGAGAAGGTTGAGAAGGAGCGCGCGACTAGAATCAGAGGCAACAAGAAGGTCAAGGTCAATCAAAGACTGGTTGACAAGCTCATCAGCAAACAAGCCAACAGAGAGGAAGTGGACACCAAGGCAGGCCTGTTGGGAGACGATCGATTCAGCAAGATGTTCGAAGACGAGGAATTCAACGTTGATGAGACAAGCAAGGAATTCCGAGCGCTCAACCCAAGCACTTTTATTGAGACGCCAGCTGGGGCTCAACCTGTCGCACGATACCAGGGCAAGGACTCTGATGAAGAGGATAGCGAGAACGAAGAAAGTAAAAATGCCATTCGGGCATCAAGACGCACGGACGTTATCTCCATGCATGTCTCCTCGACTCAAAATGGCGGTGGAAAGGTCAAGGACACATCATTGGGGTCGAGAAGAGCCAAACCGGCTCGGGACAGATCGCAGCGCAGCGAGGTCGGGGGTGAGCGACAGGTCACATTCATGCCAGCGTCGCAGAGAAAGAATAAGCAGGCGGAGGAGCCAGAGGCTCCGAGGAGAAAATCAAATAATGCCAGAAGGAGTGCCAGCTCCAACACATTCAGGAAGATGTGAGCGTATAGACTTTACCGCAACGATACAATATTTACAACCTGACATACTCCAAAAGCTCCCAAGAATAGCACAAGTATTCACCTCCAAACTCATGACGCAATGCTCCGTTATCACCGCTCAATCCAGTTCCTTCTCTCGACTCATATTGCTATTTACTTATTTTCCGGGCCACCTAGGGCCTTTGCTCTTCACCTCTGACTTAGCCATGGCCTTTTCGATATCCTCTGGACGCAGCCGCGGGGTTGGGGGAACATCTGCAAGTCTGGCACGCGCTCGATGGGAAGAAATAGGACCATTCTTGACATAGTCAGGGAACTCAGTTCGCCTGGGTGTGAGTGCTGTCTTCACTCTGCGTGCTGATCGTCTGAGGGTTTCTTTCATTGTCCATTCCCGCCTCTTAGCGATGAAGAATAGTGTCGCCATCGTAGCTATCCAACTGCATTAGCACTGCTCAACCAGGACATTGCGACCATGCCGGGATAGATACTCACCACCTAGTATTGCCACGATAACAATTACCACTATGATCGCAATCATCCCTCCTGTGCTCAAGACGGGCCCGGAGCTTGAGCTCGAGCCGGCGGCACCCGCATCGCTTCCGCCGTATGTGGATTCCTCCCCAGTTTCATTTGCCAGAGGAAAGTTGCTGGAGCCCATGGTGAGTACTTTGGTATAGTTGAATATATTATCAAATTTGCGCTTGTATAGTATTAGGAGGGTGCAGAAGAAGAATCAAAAAGTTACAGGACCAAAGAGAGCGGGATTGCCAGACTCAGGTATAATAACACGCACGGAGGTCTCACGAACTAACCCAAATCCATGGCTGCCCCTCTATGCGAATGTGTGACGGTGCTGTGATCGGCCCCTCCCAGGACTGTTCTTGCCGCCCAGCAACCTGCATGATCCTCTTGAAATCGCATTCAGATGGAGACTTACACGGTGTGGTTGCAGAGTCACACCCTGAGGCTCGGTGATTGGTGTGCGAAGCGCCGGGCCAAGCTGGGTGCGCAGCCAATCGCGTGGCAGAGCACCTGCAGAGCACACAGGCCTGCCCCTGTCGCTAAGCTGTGACGGGCAATTTTTAGGCTTTGCAACGTGACTAACGCAGAAGCGTTGTGACTTCTGCCGAAGCGTTTTGGGGGCCCCTGCGTCGAATGTCGCACGACCGACTTGATTGGATTCGAGGGCGTCGTTGACAGGAGCCGCTTTCGGCAAAGTGGTTGCAGAGTGCCAGCCAGATGCGGGCGAGAATCGAGGTGCGCCGGGGTGGCTGACAGCTGGCACCGGTGTATCATCGCACAGAGCGGCTACGATCCAGCCAAGACCTGCCAATGCCTGCCAATGCCTGCCAAGGGGCTAGGTTTTCCAGCTCTACCCCGTTTTGATGAGAAATCATTCTCCAGACGGGGGATCTATGTTATGGGCGGCACGTAGCGTGTTTGAGGAACCGCTTATCTTGTTAAAAAAAGAGAACCGATGCTCTTGCGAGATCGCACGAAGCATATTCTATCTAGCGCCTATCTGGGGTCACATAGTCTAAGGAAATGTACCACCTATTTCTTTTCTAGAAATATCAGAATCTTTCGTTTTATCAAAAAAGAAAAGGGGGGGAAAGAAAAAACAGCATGTGCTCTCTCAGAGGGATCTGGGAACCTGCTTGGTGGATGAGTGCTTCCATAAGATAGTCCACCTCAGGACCGACGATCAACAGTCCAACATTGGCCGGGATGCGACGCCAAGAATATGCCATCTGGGGCGATACCATTTGACGCCCAGAGAGGAAGGGGCCAAGGTGGGTGGGCAAACAAGGAGTTGAGCGCATTTACAGCTCGGGTGCTCTTGCCTTCTCGCTTCCCGTGATATCATCTTCTATAGTCAAGGCAGGCACGGTTGGAACTACCTGCCACCTCCAGGCTAGAGAATCACCAATTTCTACCTGGGTACTGTAAAAATCCGTGAACTTCTAAACTTCACATCCAGCTCAAAGTCCAAAATCAACTACCTCTCTGAATACACGATTCGAATATTGAACCTCTCCCCCCTTGTTGCTATTTTCACCCATGAAATTTGACCTGATATGTAACTGCAATGTCTGCAGCACTTCCAAGCCCAAGACTACAGCAAGCTAAGAATTTAGAGCGGCTGTCCCCACGTTACGACGGAAATAATGATGTAGAAATGGCCGTCGAACCTCAATTAGCAGCTGTTCAAGGAGCCAAGCACCCACCCTGCACAGGAACAATCACTCCTGAGCAATTCTTGAAGGGCATTTCCCACTCAAATACGAAAATTTCTGAAGCCGACCTTAGTGGAAGCTTTAGGTTTGAAAACAGGCAAGCAAACCGCGTCGGGCAGTTTTCCGAGAGGCCTCAGAAGCATGTTCAAAATAACCATCTAGGAGGGCCTGTACCATCACCACAGTCAGCAAAAGTCCGCGCCTTGAATAATACTCCAAACGAGCAGCAGGGCACAAAGCCGAAACAAAAAGAGCCATTTGATTTACCTGAATTGATCTTCTACAATCCAAAAGATGCCAGCCGCCAAATAAATGGACCAGTTCCAAGCTCTACGAGTACAACAGTCCCGAATATTGTGTCAGACGCCTGTGAGGTCGCCCTTACAGAACCACCCACGAGGAAACCAAAGGATCAATGCACCAGATCTCCTTCATTTCCTGGTCAAGTAGCCGCTCCTCTGGGTGAGGAGATAGAAATTCGAAAGCCAGATCTGCCATCATCTCCTCGTCAAGGGAAGCCTATAGAGTTCGAAGATTCAACTTCTATAAGTTCGCACCCTTCAATTACCCGAAAAGACAAGAATTTACTTCGTGACAACACTGAATTGGGCAACCACAAAGCACCAGTCAAAATAGGGGTTCTCGAAGCATCGCCGATTCTTGACCATCCTCAGAAATACCATCATCGTCAGCAATCATTTAGCAGTAGATGTGGTGATCTGGAGGAGCCCCGGTACCAAAGGCCAAGATGTCACAAGAACGCACCTAGTGCTAGCTCCCGAGACGGCTCACGTCGACACAGAAGCTCCAGGAGGTATGCTGAGAGCACAGGCGAAAAACAAGAACGGTCACATTCGAGAACCAGCAACATCAGTAGAAAAAGAAGTGCTGTGTCAAAACCCCCACCCCGCCGAGAATCTGGTCGGAAGCACGCAGCCATGCAGCAACTTGCCCAGTACTGGAATGAATGTTTGAAAATTGCTGCAGATGAAAAATCGGAAGCAAACGAAGAAATTGAGCGGCTTCAGATCGAGATGAGAGGTCATTCCCGAAAACTCGAAGAGGCGCAGCTTCTCCTAAGTCAAAAAGAGGTGCAGGTAAATGAGCTCGAGTCTCAAAATGCAGAACTAAAAGAGCACGACAACGGCACTACCAGTCAAAATTCCAAGTTGACTGAGGAAGTAGATGAGCTACGCAAAGAGCTATCAAATTCCAACACTAAGATCTCTGATCTGGGAGAAAAGTGCAAAACATTCAAGAAAAAAATCAATGAAGTGTTAACAGAGCAACAGACTTTATATGGACAAGTTGAATCTTCTTTTCATGCGGCTGTCACAGAACTTCGTCAGGAAAAGGCCAAGCGTGAAACTGATGTCAAAGAAATTGACAGCGCTCTCGATCTCTGTGAGAAAAAAAGGGAGCAGATGAGGAGAGAATTCGACGATATACATGCTCGAGATCAAAATGAAATTCACCAAAGTAAATGATACCTTTGATCGATAAAATTCGAAGCAACTAACATCTTTGCAGGCAAACAAACGATTTCACTCCTCACGAATGAGATTAGAGTCCAGCATGAAGAGGCCAGGGCACGAGAGAAGGATTTGGGTGAGAACCTGCGAAGACAAAGCGATATGGAGTATCAAAATGGGCAGGAAAAGTTGCAACATGTCGAATCTAAAGTCGACCTCATCCTTGACGCTTGCAGACAGCGCCTTCAGAATGAGAGCGATAACAGTGCACCAATTGCTTCTATCTCAGACAAGTAAGGTTACAACCCCCAGAAACTCCGAAATAGATCACCATTAATTTAGACATGTAGGATCGACCTCGTCGTAGATGTCATCGGATCTACACCTAGCCAAAGTCAGCAAAAACTGTTCGAGACCATGAGATCGGCAATCGAACCAATTGCACAAGAGCTTGAAAGCCGAATTGTGTCCCAGTAAGGTTCCCACCCCTCGCAACGCTCTGGCATTAGCTAAATAAAATCAGAATATCTTCGAGAATGCATGGAGAGTTTTTCAAGCATGATGAGCTTGAGAAAACTATTTCCAAGTTTGCACAAGCCTTTCAAGACGAGCTCGCCAACATTAAACAAGTCATATCTTGGCAGCTTGAAGCGAGAAGGATTGAGCAACCATCCAACACAGACCATTTGCACGATAGAATTGTTGAATCCCTCAAAGAAATGAGAGATGGAATAAATTGCACCAAGGAGTTGTGCGAGGGTACACGGCACGTTCAACATGAACTAAACAAGATCGTGGGTAATGCTTTGGTATCTACCACTGAAGCAGAGAGAGATTGCCTTACGAGAAAGATCGAAGAGAGAGATTCAAAAATAAACGATCTCTGGCACCAACTAGTTTCTCTCAAAGACGAATATTCTGCCAGATTGGAAGTTGTTAGCGCCAGGAAGGCTACACAGGAACAGACGATTATCACGCAACTATTTACGGAAAATCTACATCACATCGGACAAAGCTTCCAGCAAGAATTCGAAAGAGAGAGACAAGAATTTTCTGAAAAGATGAGTCATAATGAAGAGGCAAACGAAAATCTTCGAGCACAAATACAAGAAGCAATCAGCAAGATTATTGAGATGAAAGTGCCAGGATCTCCAGATGCAGAGAAGTTAGAGGAACAGTTACAGGGGGAAAGGCATTCCGTTGCCTCGCTGACTCGCAAGATTGGGAATTTAGAGCAGGAAATTGAAAGTACTGAAATGCTTCGGGGGCAATGGAACCAGGGTCTCAAATCGGTCAATACCTTGAGAGCCAAGCTCGAGGCGGTTGCCCAGCGTCTTCCAAAAGTCGAGGCATTAGCCACAAAACTGAACGGCATCACGCGCTTGAACGAAGTCATAAACTCAACTGCGAAATTTTTCGATGCTGAAAAGCAATGGGTCAAAACAGAGCTGTCTGGAAGAAGCCAAGTTGGAGAATCGAATCCTGACCATCAACTTGGCTCTAAAAAGATCGTCACTTCGGCTTCTCAAGATCCAATCTTGAAACTCAACAGCTTTCCATTTCCGTCAGACTTTTTACCAACTAACCAAAAAGTGGAGAGTCTGATCGAAGAAAACTTGCATCCAGAAGATGCATCACGCCGGAAAGTGCTGGTTTACAGTCCGACTGGTGACTCTGACTCTCCGTCACCCCCTCCATCGATTGGCCAAGAACAAAAGCGCCGGCGAGAGGCTGTAAGGCCACGATCCATTCTTAGGTCCTCAAAGAAGCTTTTACAGAAAATGCAAGCTTCCCAAAGAAGCGAGTTCCTCGGCCAACCTATGCATGGTGCCCAATTCAATCGCCCAGTGGTGGCAGAAACTGCTTCGGGACGTGGGAATGATGTGGCAAATAAAATAATGAACGACCTTCAAGCGGCCTTGGTTCCTCCACCCCGCTTCCAACATGGTTGGGAGTTTCCAACGGTGGCTGAATTCGAAGAATCTGTTCGGCTCGGCAGCCGGAAGCGTGAATACGAACTTGAAGTCATCGACAACTTTGAAGATCACAACAACAAAAAGATAAAGGGGAACAACCCAATCATGTCTTCTGAGACTGATCATACCAGGAATGTGACAGTCTCTCCATAAAGTTGAGAAAGTCACAAGAGGCATAACCAAACCTGCCCTCTATCAAGGACACTATCCAAGAACATCTACACAAATGGCTAATTAAAGAAAAAATACCGTGAGTCTTTGGAGGAGAGTGACGGTAATGAAGGCTCGTCGTACGAGTGATAATCAGGTGGGATTAGTAAGAGAAATTTCTTGCCTCGAAATATACGCCCTGCATGGGGAGAGAATATCTTTCGCATTTTGGAATGGAGCTATTCACTTCGTGGGTGGTTGCCACACTTCCCTTTCAACGAAAATCTCAGCTTTTGGCTGGGAATAGGATTTGCGATCGTTACTATCAGATAATATACAGTGTTGATTCATTCGTGTTCAAGTGTAGTGCAACGAAAACCCAAAACTCCGAGGATGTTGATGTGTTGATACAAGAACGCGTCTCCTTAAGAAGTCGTCGACTGGTTGCCAATTATTCCGCCACTCTAGGTCGACTCTTCTTGTTCTATTTCGTCGAGCTAACAATGGGCTGGGAGCACTATCTGTTTCGCTTTTTCGTCTCGAGGAAAAGGACCTTCTTGCGGACTATTCAATTGGATGTCAGTAACAATATGCTCTAACTTGGATCGCAGTCCCATTAAAAGAAAGACCAGTAGGCAAAATTCGAGGAATAACGGACCAATTGGATCGTATTTGAGAAGGCCCATTGGCGAGGACGTTCTGGGTCGTCGCATAGTGTAGAAGAAGCCAGTCATGGCCATCGAGACCAGCCGGACGATGATGATTCGATTCTTGACTAAAACGGATATTTGTGAGTCAAACAAGGTCAGAAATAGGCACGGCGTTGGTGCTCACCTTTCTTAGCCATGGTGGTTGATTCGTAGTCCCAGGATATCTTGGAGCTCAGCCGGGAGTCGCTCATTGCAGCAATTCGCTACATTCAAAATTCGAGACGGACGATCAGGGCGGCAAATTATTTTGCCGGGATCCGGCAAGGTGAGGCTCCCTCACCTAGCGTCACCGAGCTATCCACCTCGCTGATTGTATCACGATTACAACTAGTCAACGCTGATAGGCGTATTTCAAGGAACGGAAATACAAGATTGGGATTTGTTTTACGATATTTCAACGAGCTTGATGATTGATAGATACATGAATGAATCAAATTTATCCCCTCGACTCCCAGAGACCAGCGGTAACAGGATAGTGGCCAGAGATAAGGTATCGATCAAGCCTCCGAGTTATCGGAGCCTTACTACAGGGGTTTCTCATCATATTTCTAGCTGGAGTGCCGGTGTGACTTTTGTTCAGCAGCCCAGTTCTCGTCTTCCCCTCACAGAACCGGATACTTGCCTGGTCATTGATGCAGCTGTGTTGCATCGCTGTTCTTATCGTTCCCGAACATCCCCTACCTTAGTCTAAGTTCGCATACGGCCAGATACCTCACCACATGGCGGCCGGTCTCAACATCGCCTCTCGAGGCAACCGGGCACTCTCGAGCACCAGCTCTAAGCTGCTGGACATGCCACAGTCAGGTATGTCTGCTCCCGCTGCAGCCAATTCCGGCGGTTTGAAGGATGTAGCATGGTGCTCTGGGGATACTCCCTGTTCCCCGCGCCGAGAACAAGAAGCTAGGCAGATCTATGAATGGTCCGTCATGGCAATTGAGTTTGGGCGGCAGAATCCATGCTTTGCATTCGACCCCTGATTCCGCAGAGATCTTCTTCCTCCCGCCGCCACTATCTATCTATCCCTTCCCCAGTCCGTCAGAGCCCGCGCGCAGCAAGTGTCGTTCGAGTGGTGCTCTGTCCCAGCAAGCCCTTCCTGCCTTGCCTAGCCTCGAGCAGCTCGGTACTACAACCGAGCAGGGCACTTGTTCCGATCTCGGATGAAGCCGACCTGGATGGGCCGGGCCTGGCACAAGCCGTCGTCTTCCTCCGAACCATCCCATCCAGCATCCAACCCCCAAAACTGCGCTCCCCATCATGCCACAAGCGATATCATGATCGCCTGGCATCCCCCGGCATCTACCCGGGGCCCGGGGGGTGAAACGGGTAAATGGCATGAAAACAGGCGTGTCGTGTCACGCGCACAATGGCCCCAATGCTCTACATGGCCTGATTTGTCACGATCTTGCATGTTCTCCAAGGCTCATCTCGCCCACGGGGTTCATGTACAGCCAGTAGGAACAGGTGCCCTCTTCCACCGTGTGCACTGCGTTTATTATATCCCTCCCTAGCCGATCCTCACCTTCCCTAGCCCCCACCCCACCATAGCGAGACGTGCATGAAGCCATTACAGCATTCTATTGCTTGCAAAGGCCGTTGCATGTCTATATGAACACCAGGCCCGCTATCGTCTGGACTGCAGTTCCCATCTAGCCTGCATTGCCGCGAGGAAAAAGAAAAGAAACAACTCTCACCGGCCGTATCTTTATCTTGCTCTGTTTTTTTTTCTATCTTCCTTATCGCAGACCTCCCCCTCCCCCGCCGGTGCTGCTAGAATATTAATAGGCAGTTGGTTAACGTATTTTTCGTGCAACCCAATTAGCCAGTGCTCTCCTTTACCAACACAGCAGAAGACCCTTTCTTGCTACCCCGCCAAAAATCACTTCCCACCAACAACCCCGCCATCGCCGGTCCTCCAACATGCCCAGGCTCACAGTCGACAACATCAACCCCCACGTCCGCGCGGCCAAGTATGCCGTCCGTGGCGAGCTGGCCGTCAAGTCCGAGCAGTTCAGGGCTGCTCTGAACAAGGGCGAGGGCGGCTCCCTGCCCTTCGACCAGATCATCTCGGCCAACATCGGCAACCCCCAGCAGCTGGACCAGAAGCCCATCACCTTCTTCCGACAGGTCACCAGTCTGCTGGAGAACCCCCAGCTTCTCGAGAAGGAAGATGTCTTGATCAACCACCTCGGCTACAAGACCGACGTGATTGAGCGTGCAAAGTGGCTCCTCAAGAGCGTCGGCTCCGTCGGTGCCTACAGTGCCAGTGCCGGTGTCCCAGCCATCAAGGAGAGCGTTGCCAAGTTCCTCGAGCGTGAGTAACTTCTAATGATGCAAAATTGTCTTCAATTGGGTGTCTTTTTCTAACATTGGTCGATATACAGAGCGTGACGGCTTCCCCGCGAACCCTGCCAACATCTACCTCTCCGCCGGTGCCTCCTCCGGCGTCAACACCCTCCTCCACACCATCTGCGCCGCTCCCAACACCGGTATCCTGATCCCCATCCCACAATACCCCCTCTATACCGCCACCCTCTCCGTCCTTGACGCCACCTGCGTTCCCTACTACCTCGATGAGGCCAAGAACTGGGGTACCGACCTGAACACCATCCGCAGCGCATACGAGAAGGCCAAGGCCGATGGCATTGACGTGCGCTGCATTGTCATCATCAACCCTGGTAACCCCACGGGTGCCTCTCTCCCCGAGGAGGACATCCGCGCTGTCCTCGAGTTCGCCAGCCAGGAGAACCTCGTGGTCATGGCCGACGAGGTCTACCAGACCAACGTCTTCGTTGGCAAGTTCCACAGCTTCAAGCAGGTTCTCCGCAAGCTACAGCAGGAGAACCCCGGCAAGCACGACGGCGTCGAGCTCGCCTCCCTCCACAGCATCTCCAAGGGCATGGTCGGCGAGTGCGGCCACCGTGGCGGCTACTTCGAGCTCGTCGGCTTCGACCCCGAGGTCGAGGCCAACATCTACAAGTTCGTCTCCATCATGCTCTGCGCCCCCGTGATCGGCCAGTGCCTCGTCGAGGTCATGGTCAACCCCCCCAAGGCCGGCGAGCCGTCACACGAGCTCTACCAGCAGGAGTACAACGGCATCTTCGAGGGCCTGCGCCAGCGCGCCACCGCCCTCCACAAGGCCTTCTCCGAGATGGAGGGCGTCGAGTGCGGCGAGCCCCAGGGCTCCATGTACCTCTTCCCCACAATCACCCTGTCCGCCAAGGCCGGCGAGGCTGCCGCCGCTGAGGGCCGCACCCCAGATGAGTTCTACTGCATGCGCCTCCTCGAGGCGACCGGTATCTGCGTGGTGCCCGGTTCCGGCTTCGGGCAGAGGGAGGGCAGCCTGCACTTCCGTACCACTTTCCTGGCCCCCGGCACCGAGTGGACTGGAAGAATCGTCAAGTTCCACAAGGAGTTCATGGAGCAGTACCGGTAGATGGCAAGCAAATTAAAGGGCAAGGAATAAATCAAAATAGAAGGGATAAGTGTAGAGGATGAGAAAAAAGTAAATAAATGGTAATCCGATTCCATGTGTATGTTGTGGCTTCTAAGTGATGTCTATTTCATGTGACACTTTTCAGACTGAAATGTTGAGAATATAGTACACTTACCGTGGTAGACAGAGGCACTCAAGCTTGGTGGTGTCCTCTTAGGCCAGGAGATCTATTCTTCAACACCATAAGAGACGATTTGAGACGCTACGCATTGGAAATTCACGGCATATTCTACGTAAACTAGGCGGAGGTGCAAAAGAGTTGCTAAAATTAATGTGTCTATACTTGGATGTAGAACATGGTTCTATTGGTGACATGGTAGAAAATGTTCCCCGTTCCCTTTTTTGACCTCAAAAATGTATATAGCTAACCCGTCGCAGAGCACAGCGGGAGGTTTTTAATTATGCCCTCTCACTTCCTCTCAGTCGGACAGCCTGGCCGTACTTTTGGAGCTTCGTGATAAGCTGGTCTCCCTGGCGAACAACATCCTGGTACTGCTTGTTCTTATCGTCTGGTCGGTTCGTCTCGATTACTCCTTTACCGTTCACACGGTCGATTGTGCAAGGAATTCGCCCAGCGGCAATGAAGCGAGCCAAATCACTAAATTCAAAAGTCAGTTTCATTTGCGTCTCAGTCCCCTAGTAGACTGATGTACTCACCGATCAAGGAACTCGACTGTGACCCCAAAGTCATTGGCCATGCTGTCAAGTCCAACAACCCGGTAGCTCTGAAGCAGCTGCTGGTAGGCCCGGAGCCGCATTTCTCGGATAAACCAGTTCTTGTGCTCATGGAGATATCGGTCTTGGGTAAGGAACTGCTCTTCAACAGAAGCCAGCGACTGGAAAAACGTCTTGTAGTTGCCGTTGTAGAGACTGCTGACCAGTAGGGCCAAGGGGCTGAAGTCAATCGCTGCCTCGGACTCTGGATGATCAGCGGTTGTGCCAAGGGTGGTCAGGTTCACAGCTGTCGTCGTAGCCGCCTTAGGGGAATCAACGCCGGTTGCGTCATCTGCACCTGGCCCAGCGCTGATTGCGCCGCTCAGAGCAAGAAGCTTATCTTCGCCATCTCCCAGAATCGCCTTGATCTCTGGAGCATCAACAACCTTGGACTTGAAGTCTACTCGCTTCAGGGACACAGAGCCCGCGAGTACGGAGTAGACGACAAGGTTTGAGTAGGTGCAAAGCTCGTAGCTGGTGAATGTGGAGAGAGAGTCGAGAAGGAGAGGTGCAGCGAGGTTATAGGATCGTACAGTAAGAAGGTGAAGACCCTCGTAAGTCTTGAGTCGGTTTCGTCGGTCCCAGTCACCACCGCTATCAACAAGGGCCTTGGCTCGCTCAACATGCTTCTTTACAAGAGGCTTGTCGCCGTAGAAAAGCGCCATGCGGACGATGGCCAGGACAAGATCGATCTTGGCTCCCAGAATACCAGTATTCTCGAAAACACTCTCGTAGGCGGCAATGGCTTTATCCTGCGGGTTGTTAGCAACTCATGGTCGTTCAGGGTCAACAGCGGTGAATTATACCTTGTCTCCCACTCGAGCCCAGAACTCAGCCCGCTTGCCCTTGGCAGCAATGATCTCTGTATCGCCAGCCTGCTCCTCAGCCTCTGCTTCCTCCTTCTGGAACCCGTCAAGCTCCTTCTCATTCTCCTCTGTCAGCTTTGCGTAAAGGGCTTCGTCCCAGGGCAAGTTGACGGTCGATACTGGCTGTTTGGTGGCAACCATCCCCACGAGACTGGACTTCCTGCTCAATGGTTTGCCTGGCCCCGACGAACCACCCTCGCCCACTGCGTTGAGGATGCCGTCGATGGGGTGTGCTAGGTATCGGTAGAATGGGGCCATCTTGTCCTGGGCGATGGCATCTTGAAGAGCCTTGACAGCGGCTTGTTGGGCCGCCCGCGAAGCATAGCCATTTGTGAGGGTGAAGACGTGCTGTGACAACGGCAGCAAGGGCCACTTGGCGTACTGTGGATCTGAGCCCATAGCTGCGGTCGGCGACGTAAACGAGACTCTTCTGTAAGTGGCTGGTTGCTCAAGTCTCGTAAAATACCGCTAGGGCAGAAGGGTTGCAGGCAGGGTTGGAGTTGGCTCGTTGGAAGCTATGAGAGGCAGCTGGTGATGATGCGAGGTCCAAGCTGATCGGAGGGCTTCTATCACGATTGGGCTGAGTCTCATCTAACTGGCTGGAGCCCCCCAGGGTGGATCCTTTCCAGGGCGAGGCAAGCGAGGCTTGAGCTACAGGCTGCAGCGCCGACGACGACGGCCAAGAATGCTGCTTATGTAAGAATAGAGCTTGGGCAAGAGTGCTCGAGATCGATCCCTCAATTCTCTCAACTTACCCTATATCACACTCCTACCCTAAGTCATGTCTGGTTTCTCACCCTCTGGCTCTGACACATGATCAAACTGTGTCCATTACGAACCATGTTTGTCGTTATCTCAACCTCGACTAATGCTCCAGCTAACTCAGCAGCAACAATGCCTCACAATTCTTGCTCATGCAGAACTAAGCCACTATGGCCCTACCAAGTTATCTGTCTTGGGAACAACAAACACGTGATGGCTGTTAGACAACCCCTTTTTGGGCTCATCTTCCATCCAGACCTCGCTTAGAGGGCTTCCTCCTAGGTATTCTACCCAGCGCGAGTATCCAGGCCACATCGACGAAGATCTGCAGAGCCTGCTCCGAAGTTTACCGGCTTGGCCCTCAACCTTTGAAGGTGCCATTGGAACGCTTATGTGGCTGGTATGCCCATAAGTCCACTTCAAGCATTGTCGATAGACATGTTGTACCCAACTGTCTAGATGGAGGGTCTATGAGGAGACTAG